ACTATTTCGAGCTATGTAGTACTATGTAGTGCAAAGCTTCACTACAGGCAGCTATGGAACTCAGTCAGGCAAAAAAGTGACTGCAGATGGCTACAGGTTGCACCCGGCTTCACTACACACAGCTATGCAACTCAGTCAGGCAAACAAGTGACTACAGATGGCTACAGGTTGCACCCGACACATGACACTATATACTTACTACAAACTATTTATGACAGACACGCCAAACATCTCGCCGTCAATGAATTGATTAAAATAAAAATCATTTGCCACCTCATATGCATTTCCACTTCTCAATGTCATATCCACTGATTGTCCCATCTTCGGTATTAGGTGACACGGTCGTACAATTTCATCGACGTGGATGACAGCAGCATTGCAGCGGAGTTGGTGTGTTGAGCAAGAGACTTGTTGCAACCGAGAGGAAGGGTCTGGACGTCTGAAAGGCATAAACCACTCGATGTAAGCGAGGGCTCTGGGGTATATGCCGAACTGACAAGGGAGGCTGAATATAGCGCGAACCTGAGCTACTCACACACCTGCAACACATCACAGTCAAATATAAGTGTCAACAAGTCCAAAAAAAAATACCTTCAAGAGTGCGCAAGGGCAAAGACCGAGGCCCATCTGAGATCAATGTCATGTCAAAATGAGCAGGGCAACCAGGCTTACGGCCAGATGCTACCACTTCTGGCCTTGCTCTAATGTGCCACCGGTTGGGAGTGTCGCTCACTCGTCGATCTGGTGGTGCCTCGATGACCACTTGACAATAAATATTGAAATGGTCATGAATGCCAGGTATGATGGTGATATGTGAAAGGTTCTTGCACAGGAAAGTTTGCAGAGCGGAGAGAAAATTGATAGCACCATGCACTGTCACAATCTTTTCAACTGTCTGGTGAGGATGTGCTGGAACCTTTGCGAGGGTGTTCCCTGTTGTCGTTGTGTTCAAGTTGGGAGATGCAGCCTCTTTTTCTTCCAAGTCTGAGTCCAAGTTGAAGGAATGATGCTCTGTGCGACCTGCTGGCAGGGAGGCTGTTGTGATATCCAATTCAGGTATGCACCATGCAAAAACACTGCTTCCTGATGTTGAAGCCACAAAACCATCTGTTCTTCATAGTCCCGTTTGTTGCTAGCATGGTAAGTGTCCTTTGCAAAATCAATGTGCAAGCGCTCAGGAAGCTCGGTGTTAAAGCCATCAGCTACACCAAACAACATGATTGACTGGATGTAATGAGTGAGTTGATGTAGTTTTGGTATATTTAAATGTTCTCAAATGGCAAGTTCCTTCAGGACATCTTTATTCACATGAAAGACTCCCAAGGCAGTTTGTAGGGCTTTGAGCGTGTCAGTTGTGTGAATTTGGAGCCGGGCATAATAGGAAAAGTCAAGAATTGATTGTGCAACTACCAAGACACAACTGTGCAGCACGACATCAACAAACAACCATTTTCAATGACATCACACACACACCTAGGCACCGCTCCAGTAAGTAAGCCAATAAACACTCGCTGCATCTCTTTATGCTCACTTCCTGTCCATTGTTTCATAGTCAAAATACCTTTCTTGAAGTGATGGAGTCCTGGATAATCCGGGATGGCCTTGAATCATGCATCCATCTCATCTTCCCTGATAATATCGATGCACCACTTCATGAGGTGGTCTTTAAACATGCCTTTATGGATTTGATGCAAAAGATTGGGGGTGAAAGCCAGGAAAATGTTGGCATGAGGCATTTCGGCCCAGAACAGTTTATAAACCGCACGTAGACCATTCTCCTCGAATTCTGGAGGATGCTGACCAATATTGCACCTTTCTAGAATATCTTTTGTTGACTCTGGATCGCGCAACGCAGACTCAAATCCATTGCCTTGCTCATTCACTGCCACCAGACACTTGGGACACCGATTCTCTTTACAACAGGAAACCAAACACTGCTTGGGAAAATCAGCAACATATGCAGCCAGTATCGGGTAGACATGACAAACCAGCGAGTCCGCACACACCATTTTGACTCTGTTTTGTCCAGCAGCAATGAGAGTATGGAGGAGTAGGGCCATGCAATGATGAAAGAGTCTGTATCCAGCCAGAGAGCATACATCAGAAGTGAAGCAGTCTAGCTTTCCTGCGGGTAAGTAACCAATAAGCACTGTGGCTCGTGCTGATGCCTGATGCCTTTTTGCTTCAGCGATATTGCCAATAGACATATACACAGGCCATGCTGACTTGTCTCCTTTGAACTGCAATAAGCTGGTTTTGTCCAATGATAGAATAATTGGTACTATTGTGGCACCTTTGGGTAGGGCTTTCTGCTCACAAGGTCAGTACATTTCTTTGTTGTTCTCTCTCAAACAGTCTTACTTGAGTCTCGCCCCACCAGTTAGCTGTCCACATCTCGTCAATCACTCTATGTTGCCCTGTGCAGTCTGCATATGCTCTGGCAGGTGAGTAGGCCATATCTTCCTTGAAGAAAGGGTTGCTGATAAGCTCTTTGACACACTCTACAGGATCATGGCTCCAAAGTTCGAGCTCTTCTTGCAATGGTGCTCCATTCTCATCTTCAAGGTTACCACGCACAGTAATCTTCCTGCAACTCCATCCTAGTCCATGTGAAAGTTCGTCAATCTTCTGCAAGAATGAGCGGTTGTTATGAAATGAGAGTTTTGTATGGTTTTGTGTCTAGTCATGGTATCAACATTGTGAGTTCAGTCGATGCTTTCAACATACTATTGGTAACTTCAAAAACTCCTCAGTCCGTGTCTGACCAACATTTTTAATGAGCCATTGGGCCAAATCTCACTCTTCCCTAGTGAGTCATATATCTTGAGATCCCCTTACCGCACATTTGAGCACTTACATGTCTTCAAAGGGAGAATATGAATCCTCGCCATCTTCCTCTTGATATCTCCTATATCCTTCAAATTTTGTCTCTCCCTCACGCAGTGCCCATCCAGCATCTGGTATAGGTTCGAAATAATGCCCAAATTGTGTCCCGCCATCATCCTCAACTTCTTCAATGGTGACACAACGAGTTTTGCTGTCCGGGTGGGGGTGAACATGGGAAAAGTTGATAGGCGGTGGGCTGTCTGGGCCATCATCAGGTGCATCCAAATTATCTGCTTCAATGTCTTCAAACATTAATGCCCATTGCCTTTGACATTCAGGACGTCCTGTGATGTGTCTCTTGAGACCTTCGTGTGTTGTTGTTACCTTGCTGCAGAATACACAGTGAGGTATGGTTTGTAGAGGCATGGTTCATCCATCCAGTGCTGTCATTACAGCAACTACTTACTAGTACTGTTGATGCCACAACACACAACACTACATGACCCCACACACCAACACAACCCACTGAGGCAACATTTCATTTTTCACTGCCCTCGCCCTGAGCTCTCGCCATTGATGGTAAAATTTTCTTCTAAGATCCCACAAGATTGCCTGCCACCTTCGATGGTCAAACCGCCCTCCACCATCAATGGTAAAATTTTCTTCTAAGATTGCCTGGCGCCTACATGTACACCATCATTCTTGCCTGAATTACAACTGACAAAACTGACAAAACTAGAGTAGTGATGCCATGAACTGCAATTAGCAGCTCCAACAATTGGACTTTGTGTGCCTCCTCACAATGCTTCTGAAACACTTATTGTTGAGATGAAGCTGGCCAAGGAGGTGTGGCGCGAGGCATCTAACTTAGCAGACCTGACGGTTCAACTCACTCCTTCACTGGTCAAGATGGTAAGTAGTCCCTTTGTAATATTCCTACCCTGATTGATGTTATATGTTGTGCAGATGACGAGGCACACTTCACATGTACGTGGGGAACTCAAAACCAAAATGCAGGCACTCACGGTGAAGATGAGGAATCTAAACTGTGGGGGAAGTTGGTGCTAAGCTAAGCAAACACAGATAGACCTGGGCGCAAGTGAAATCATCGTCCCAAGGGCAGCTAACTGAGTAAAGGAAACCTCTCTTTGAAAAAAAAGAGGGACACCAAACAACTAATGAAGTACTAGGGCTAAGTAACGCGCGAAGCGGATACAATGTGATGTACGGAAGGCGAATGCACGCGATGACATGCGAGTGTGAAAGGCGAAGTTCGAGGTGCGCAATGCGAAGGTAGCGTGCATGAGCGAAGGCGAGAGACAAGCGAGCGAGAGAAGCAAGGGAAAGATGAGGTGAGACAAGTGTTAACACCCCAACTAAGGTTGGCTGATGCTAAGACAGAGACCGAGAACCGAAGCATGCAACTTTAGACAGTCACTTGCAAACAACGAGTAAAATTCTTAGTATCTAGAGACACACAGAAAGTGGGCAAAAAATCAACCTCAAAAATAGAGTAAAGAGATAGTATATGTAAAGATGGCTAAGTGCCGCTAGGCACGCAGGTCTGATGTAGCGAGCCAAGTAAGCTAAATATAGTACACAAGATAGGTAATAGGGTCTCGGCTGCGCACATAGCGCTAGGCCGAGAATTAGCAATGGAAACAATTAGTCAAAATGGGAATATAGTGAGAAAATGCAGCAATGGACATCTAAGGACATGGGGAGGACAGATGGATGGGTATGCGGATGATGCTAACGCGGATGCACAGTGCGTGCGAAGTGCGAGTGGCTGCGCACAGAATCTGCAAAGTAAAATATATGAAGTGCTACTGCGCAAGATGTATCCTTGGGATTAGAGCTGGAGTGTGTAGGGAATTCGAGGGAAGTGCCTGTGGAGACGCGAGGCTCTACAACAGCGGGAGACTTTAAAATCTGACTGTCCCCAGTCAGCGTGCGTGCGTTCACGCGAATGGAATTAGAGAAATTTTAATGAGAGGTGTCACGTGATTGCAGTCCATATTCCGAAAACGAAGTGCCAGCGATCGGCCTTGTGACCTTGGGAATTAGCACAGATGCTGACATAATTGTGGTTAGTGCGTTTAAAAGAGCACTACGTGGCAACATATTGTTCTCCTCATCTTTCACTTTAACCGCGATATTCTAAACTTTTTACCATGACCAACTTCAATTTGTCTTTGCTCGACCCGCCTCACTCGCCTTCGCCTGAGGCTGAGGCGCCTATCGAGGCTGCGCTGGTGGCTGAGGAGCCAGCACAGGAAATTCCTGAGCCTGCTCCCATTGTCGAGTCCGCTGGCAACTGCATCCTCTGCATTTGGAATGTGCTCCAGTGGGTGTGTTGTTGGGCTCGCGCTCAGAGCTCCTCCAAGAGCATCTGGAGGATATCAAGTCATGGCTCTGCGAGTGGGCACACTTTGAGGTGAGTGGCACGCATCTTTTTGCATCTTGTCTTATTTACTGATTGAGTGTACTCATCTTTATAGGCTAATGTGCGTATCTGCACGGACAACGCATTGGAAGCGGAGGTGCTCCTTCCGATCGGCGATGAGGAGAAGGAGGTTCTGCAGGAACTCAACAAGTGGGTCGGAGTGGCGAGGAAAATGGTGAGCGGGTGGAAGGAGGTGGTGGAGAAGATTATGGCGGAGGCATGCGCAGCTCGCACGGCGAAGGAGAAGGGGAAGGGAAAAGAGAGGGAGGAGAACCCAGACATAGGTAAACCTGTGAGTGTCTTTTCCTTCTTTTTTTGTCGTGTCTGACTAACTATTTTGACAGAAAGCTGGTGGGCGTATGTCGACTGCGCCAAAGATGCTTGACCCTCCCTGCGAGAACTGCATGCAGCACAGGGTCAAGTGCTCGCAGGGCAAGAATGTGTGCTGCAGGCCTTGTGAACGCTCACACCGAGTGTGCAACTTCAGTGAGTGTCCTCGTTGTTTTAGTTTTTGAATGATCTAACATTTTGTGATAGCTACCAAGCGCAAGGCATCTGAAACTGCGGTGGCGCTGCGCAAGGTGCCTCACGTGGCTGAAGAGCACATTCCGATGGTCAAGCTGACCACAGTCGATGATGCCGATGACTCTGGCGAGTCTGAGGTGGAGGTTCAGGAAGCACCAAAGAAGGTGCACCCTGCGCCCAGGCCAGTAAAGCCTTTGCCCATGCACGCCGCCGCAGGGCCTTTGAGGATTCATGCCGATGATTCGGACAACAAGCGCCTTCACGCCGACAACAAACATCTGCAGAAGGAGGTTGAGAAGTTGCGCAGTTCGCAGGATGATTACGACTGCTTCGTGTGCAACCTGAACTATCAGGCACGCAAGCAGCAGCAAGAGCTCATCGCGATGAGCAACCGGCTTTACTCATTCTCAGATGAATGGAGGGTGATGGGGCAGGAGATGGATGACTTCGTTGTGGGGCAGGAGCAGCCGCGGAAGTAGATATTTCTTACTATACCCTTTTCTTTTCTTTCTCTGTGTGCCACCTTTGCACCTGTACTATACTCTGATCCGCTTGCGCACAAATCGCGCCTACTATACTTTTTCCTTTCGTGCTGTACAATATAGTTGTTTTGCGTTGCGCCTATTATGAGTCTGCATGATCTTCGCCCAAGTCCTAGTCCGAGTCCATGTCCATGTCCAGAGAGTCCATTGGGCCTGGATTCAGATGAAATAGTACTTGTGAGCGAATGTGGTATAGTTAGAATAAAAAGGAAGGATAATTAGCGATATACGCATGATAGCACAAGCTTCGCGCTCGACTTGTCTTCTTCATGCGACTGTCTGCGTCTATTCCTGCTGTGAGTGATTATAGTGATCGGGTATAGTCTACCTAAAATGTGCGCAGCGCGGCTTCGCGCATTTGAAATAGAAGGTCTATGTGGATGGTTATGCGCGCGTGTGTCGATTAGGAGAACTTATCTGTATATACTGTTTCGGGTATTACGTGGGATGCGCACAATATAATAGAGTCTGTGTTTGTGTTATGTTCAGTGAATGCCCAGGTTATATGCGAGATGCAAGAGAGAAACTGAGATCACCGGATGAAACCTGGGGTAAAACTAAGAGTAAATACTTCTAGCAAGACTGTGTTTTGTTGTTTTTGTGTTTTCTTTATTTTTGCAATGTTTTTATTATTGTGATTGCGGGATGATATGTACGAGTGCGGGTGTCGAGAGTTTGAGGATGCGGGGGTGCAGATATGAGAGTACACGATGAGCGAGCCTCTGCGCGCTCGGGTTTGTCTTCATTGGATTCTATAGTTTCGTTAGCCTCTAAATGGTCTATACTTTTGTCATCTATTCCAATCATCTTTGTGACGGATACATGATCTTCATGACACGGATAATATGGTATCACACAAAACACAGCAAAGCGGAGCTTCAATATTGCGCTGTCTAGCTCAGTGAGCATATAAGAACCTCCTTTCGTGCATGACACGACCATCATTGGTCCGAGATAGCACAGCTTGGTTTTCTTGCTAAGTTCATACTTGACTTTGGAGTTGCGGACAAGAACTAGCGCGCCGGGTTCAAAGTTATACAACTTGATAGACACGCGAAAGCATTTCTCAAAATCACGAACAGACTTGAATTGCGCTTTGACGACCTGATCTTTGATTGTGTCAAGATCGGCTTCGCGTTTCTGCAATTGGCACACACACCATGCTATAAGGTCAGCGGTGGTAAATGTGCCTCAGCTCGGCAAGGGAGTGAGAAAGGTAGCTTCAGCTAAATTGAATGGAAATATAGGCTTGACACCATGAACCATAAAATAGGGTGATAGGCCCGTTGCGCAATGAATAGTAACACACTCGGCCCAGAAGACAGAATGAACAACTTGATACCGTCGCAACTTTTGATGATGGCCTCCCAGACATCCCGGTGTCGTCTTTCAACTATACTGTTTGCCTGTGAGTTATACGGCAAAATGTGAATTGGGTGGATTCCGTACTTTCGCGCAAGTTCATCTACCGTGAGTCTGTACGCAGGGCTGTTATCAGTCACGATCTCAGTGATTGGACCCCATCTGCAAAGAAGCTCTTCGAAAATGAAAGCAGTTAGCATTTTGGTATTCTCTTTGCGCAGCATGCACCATTCAGGGTATGACGTTAGCGCGCAGCGCACTTGCACAAGATACTCAAATCCGCCCACTCTGGGCATCTTCATCGTGTTGATATGCGCTTTGCGAAATAAACCTCCTGGTATTGGAACTGTTGGCAGAATATGCAACTTTCGCATCTGGCGAACCTGACAATTGTGGCACGTTCGCGCATACCACTTTATGTCTTCGATGATGTGCGGCCACCGAAAGTGTAGTAGCAACTGCACGTGCGTGGTGTATACACCTTTATGGCTGAGGTTGTCGTGCGCTTCTTTAAGAAGGCGATATTGCTTGCGTGATGGCGCTACTAGCTGGTGTTTTCTGTGGGGTTCTCTTCGCCAGAGATTGCCCTTGAGGACGAAGAAGCATGCGGCGTAGTTGACGAACACTGCGAATTCATGATCTGAAAGGTCAGCGGGTCTTTTGCACAAAATAAGAAACTCTTTGGTTAAGACGAGCGATGCATCTAATGCTTGCACAGCCTCTGAGCGAGGGATGATCGGTTCTGGTTCTTCTTCCAGCACGACATCTAAAAAGACACGATGTACTCATGCACGTGAGTCAAAAGATGTATGCACGTTCTGATGCGCATGGTGGATGAGTTCCGCGCAACTGCTCGCGATGCATTGTGTTCTATCATTTAGTATTGCGACTCCGAATGAGTATGTGTGATCTATCCAATCTTCATGGTCATTGTCCTCCTCGAGAGGATCCTCGTTGGCGAGCGGCCTCCTTGAGAGACCGTCGACACCTTTGTGCTTGATCGCGGAAACATGAATGAGTTTGAATGAAAATAATAGAATGCCCACGATCCATCGATTGATGGTCGTGTTAGGTTGCAAATCTGGATTATTGATCATACCTTTGATATATTTCACATCGACTTTGACAGTGAGATTCTTGACTCCGAAAATGAATATGCAAACTGCGCAAAAGAGTCTGTAGAGCTCTAGCTTCACTTGCGAGTATCGGTTTTCCACCTCGTTCAACACTATGCTGCCAAAACGATTAGCATATCGCTTGCCATCCATGCCTACTTGCAGCAGAATGAACCCAATAGCGATGTTGGACGTGTCAACGGTGAGGATGACTTTGTGCTCACTCTCATAATCAAGGCAGCGAAGAGCAGGAGACTCTAATACTGAGTCCTTGAGCATCTGATACGATTCACATTCTTCAGGTCCAAAGACGAATGGAACATCTTTCCTGGTGAGGTTAGTTAGCGGGCATGCTTTGCGTGCAAAATCGTGGATGAAAATGCAAAGAATGCTGCAGGTTCCCAAGAAACTGCAGACTTGCGATTGATTAGTAGGCTCTGGCCAATCTCGTATCTTCTGGACTTTAGTGTCTTCGGGTACGTGACCCTCAAAGGTACACTTATGCCCGATGATGACTGTGCTTGGCGCGGCGAGAACGAATTTTGTTGCGCTAACTGTAACACTGACATTTTTGAGCCACTGCAAAATGCGATGCATGACAGTTAAGTGTTCCCAGATGAAGCAATGCATGCCAGGATTTTCGGGTATGGTCTCATAAGTACTGTCCGTGAGTTCATATCGTGTCTCGACGGATTTGACTGCGATATTGTCAATGAACAGAAGTGTGTGCTTCGGAATCTCATCCTGTAGAATAAAGGCTACATCACCCTGGAAGATTTGCGCAGTGTTAGTATGACCCTGTGGTAAGGTGGTCAACCTATGTGGGCCTAAAGGCGTGCCAAACGTAGTAAGGTTGCGCAACTCTTCATGGAGCGTGCGCTGGTCATATCCGGAATACAAATCCATCATACCATATATCACATAACCCACAAAGGATTCTGCGAGGTGTTCAATGAATGGGGGTACCGACACATTGCGAATTGTCACCATGTTGAGCGGCTGCAGGTCGTGAATGAGGCGTAGCAATTTGCCATCTTTCTTGACTATGCAAAACCATCGCAAGCGATATGCGGCTGTCAAAGGCTCATATACGCCTGACGCGATTTTCTCTTTAATGATGTGCATGACTTCATCTATGGTTGATGGCAGAACTGGAATATTGCGCTGCGACCATGGCGTGTGCGGAACTGTCGGGATCTTGTATGGCAGGAAGTACCTTCCATCAAGGCAGCCACACTCGGATGCTTCCCAAGTGAACATGAGTTCATGCATGCGGAGTAGCCAATTCGCAGGATCGAAAGTCAACTTATCCACGCACACTTGCTGAGAAACGAGAGTGCGAAATAGAGATGGGAACGAGAGATGATGACAAAATTAATGAATGTGATGTAGCGATATTGCTCCTTGAGAGCGAATGAGAGTGGTTATTGTCACGCGATAGGCGCGACGCGAGCAATAAAACATTAGTGATATGTGAAGAAGAAAACGAGTGTGATGGACAAAGCGAGGAGCACGAACACTCTATAGTGTCTCCCCGCGTATGCTGCGGATCATTGATACTTAAAAATCCTGACCCTCGGCCTCGGCAACGTTAACATGTGAGTGCGTATGCGTATGCGTAGCTTCGCTGCAAGGCGCGCCGTGTACCACAACTTGGCAGTTCCTGACCCAAGGGAGGGTCGGGATGTGCATTTCTTTGTGCATATTTAGATCTGTTAATAAAATGTCCTGCGCTCCACTAGGGAGGTCGAACATGTGACAAGAAGTGAGAGTGAAAAACAGGCAGCCGAGCAGAACCTCAAAGTTTGTGTGCTCCGTTACCTGAACTTGGAAGTACATGGGACCTCCTCCGAAATCGAGCAGGATATTTTCGATGACACCGAGCATTGAATTGCACGAAGTATTTACCGACTCCATGCGCATGCAGTGATCTGACCGCAGACCAACTCCGAGTGATTGCCAAACTTCCCTTGGCATTACGATGACTTCCATGCCTTGATCGAGGATGCAGGTAAGTGTCTGGCCGCCTACGGTAGTTGCACGAATACACCTCAGTGGCGCAAAGTGATCCACAACAATGTGTCTGTCATCGCTATGCGAATGCACGTCTTCATACTTGTGCATCCAATGATGCGAAATGGGGTGGCTCAATAGCTCGTTGACTGAGACTGTCGCAACAGTGACCCATCGATTGGTCGACATGTTGCGGAGGTTTTTCCAAACGTCAGGCGAAACAGCTAAGACATTGCGCACAGGAATGCTGATAGCGACATCTAGGATCTGGTCAGTAATGCACTTTTCGGTGCCTTTGTCCTCGAGCGGACAGGTTAAACGATAGGTGCCCAAAGGCGTGGGTGTTGCCAACACTGCTGCTGCTGCTGCTACTGGGGGGGGCGAGATGTTAGTGGTCTTTTTCACAGAAGATGATGATGATGTTTGTGCGCTCACAATCAGCATGGG